TCAAGCGAGGGATTCTCGCTCAAGCGAGAATTTGACAACCTCCAAAATATGAAATATATAATTAATATCACTTTTACCTTGAATGATGAATAGTCCTACTGATACAAATGAAGCAATCACCATAAATAAAGAGGTTCAAATTGTCTCAAAGAATAAAAACTTGCCCCATAAAAACTGGAACAAATGACAACTTGGCTTAACACAGTTGATGCAGTAGGGGGTAACATGATAGGAGGTCAAATATAGAAATGAATAGTAGGAATGAATAGTAAGAAACATTTTTTGTATATTTATAGAAATATTAAGTACCACAATAGAGAATATAACCTATATAATAAACGTTTGCTTTAAATTAATGAAATCCCACAAGGCAATTATTACATTATTAAAAGGTGTGTAGATGAGTGACTGATTTGTAACATGAGCTACATCAAAAAATGACACAATCCATGTAAATCTATGGCATATTCTTGAAACAAAATAATGTCTGATTGGCATCAACCTTAACTACTACCAAATAAAAATTCTATATGAAAAGAGATATATTTTTAAAGTCACAGTGGTGGGAATGGAAACAAAACCCAAAATATCCTTATGGCACAATAGTCCACAAGTAACTCTCCTTCATTTTGGCTTATGGAATCACAATTGATTGGCACCAATAGGATTATTCAGAAATTCTATGGGGCAACATCAGGTAATTAATCAAACTGCAATTAATTCACTTTAAATAAACTATCTAATGACATACCCGGATGAAGGATATGGGACAGAGCTCACTGGTGAATATGCTGGAGTCATGTTCCTGGTCTGACCTAGAAAGAAGATAAATAAGTTTATGGACACAAAAAAAGCAGTTAATCGATTAACTTTTGGCTCACTAGAGCTACTACCTGCATAAGTTTCTGCAGCTCTCCCTGACCAACCCCCAATTGACTAATTCTGGCCAGGAATATTAGAGCTAGGATATTGTGTACTAGCAATATATGTGGGATTCCCAGCAGTAGATTTAGTTTCAGCAGCCATTAGAAGAGACTGTTGTTGTGCTAGCATGGCCAACTACTGTTAATGCATTGAAAATGGAGAAACCATTTGCTCTGCAGATATCCAATTCACTGATCAGGTAAAAGCATGTTCCAATACCCCCATCTCCAAAAAAAAGTACTTTTAACAATGGAGGGAAACAAATAAATTCACTTGCTGTAATATTTTCCATGGATAATAGCTCACATATAGGACAAAAGGAGAACAATTGCTCAAATAAGAACAAAATATTCTATATTTATATATTCAATAAACAAGACTAAGCCACCTATGGAAGCATTGACTCATACCTTCTGGAAGAGGCTCATGATATCATTTTTTACATCTCTCTGCTTTTCCAGGAGCTAAGCTTGGTGTCAGTGAAGGTGAATCTTTAAATAGATCCTCAATTTCAGATACGGACTGGGGTGTACTCTCAAATGCTCTCAACGGACTAGTCTTCTCGACTATTGATGCCTTTGCAGAAGCTGAAAAAGTTATAGCAACAAAATTATAATCCAAGTTATATGCAACATAAGCATGAGAATCTTCAAATATTCTAAAATAAAATGTCAAGCTACTCTTTATTCTAAGCTTTCATTGTATATATATTTAGATAGAAAAAAGACAACATACACTGAAAACCTGCCCAATTATTATCATCAGCAGTAGTATTATCTAACTCTGAGCCATTTTCACTTGGGCCATCCATAGACAACATGTTGAAAAGGTCTGTAGCATAGTCAACTTTTGGAGGAGTATTTTTAGCAGTATCTGTAGCCTGATTTGAAGTTTCAGCTGGTGGTTTTGGTGCTACTGGTTCCACTTTCTGAACATGTTGAGTATTAGAAACTCTTAATGCTTTCTTGTAAAGCTTCAAGACTCCAGCAAATCCATTGAGAAACTATCCTACCTCCTCGTTCACATGTTCCCAAGCTCGAAATTAATCGATGAATAGATCAAACTCTTATCAATAAATGTATATATAAAATATTTTTATTCAATTTCAAATCACATTCCACCAAAAACCATAACTGCACTTATTTGAATATTTTATCAAACACATGGTGTGCTTCCAAGTATCAACCATCCTAAATGCTAATAAGTAATAACATATGCTGAAAGGTGAACAAAGGTAAAGATTGAAGCAAACAAATGATTGAAGAGAAAATACAAAATCCTACTAACTTTATAATTCCCTCGAAAGCACAGTTCCCAATCATCATATCTGGCCCCAAATTGAATGAACATCCAAGTCCCCTTTCACTGACAATCCTGTAGCATCTTCGAGAGTAAAGACCTAAGGATAAAGGAGAAATAAAAAATCAGGGGATAAAACATGTTAGCATACCAACCTGGATTATAGAAAATGGAAATAAATTCTAATTATTCTCAACACTTAAGCTAATTAAGTGACCTGAACACATACAATAAAAGCTAACCAGGGGATAAATCGAATTCGTCTCCTTCACGCTTTCTTCGTCTCCATTCTGAACTCTCTGGTGATTTAAACCTATTTAAACCTTTATAAAATTAATATTAGATAGAAGGTACTCTTGTTCTGCTATGCACAAATTTTGTTTGTTTTTATGGATTTTTTTTTTTGCACGAAAGAGCAACATATCTCGAACTACCATCATTGTAGTTGTGCCTGTTGTTTTTTTGTTGATCATTTGTATCCCCCTCTATTTAAGACAAAGAAAGGCAATGAAATTCTTAACGGTAAGTCTACTTCAATTTGAGTTGTTATTTTCTACACTGGTTGTAACAATAGAAAGTCTTATTAACACCATTTGTGAGTCATTTTGAACGGGAATAATTATGTCACTTTTATATATATAACAAGAAATTTAATTGAAAACAATTCTCATATAAAAATTAAAATATTAAAATATGAGAACAAAAAAAATGTAAAAAGTTAATAATGGTCACATGATTATTTAAGAAAGTCGTGTGCATATATTATAGTACCTAAATATATTTAGTAAAATTTTATAATTTTTTATACATTTTCCATTGATAATTACATTTTTAAAGAAAGAATAAAAAATATTATTGTGTTATCATTACTTTAGTTTATCTCATCTAAAGGATATATTTGACTTTGTTTCCCCTTCTCTTCTTCTTCTTGATCATTCTCCTTCCCTTTCCTTTATAACACCTGAGCATAAACCTTTTCCTCAAGTATAATTAAGCTACTTGTAAGATGAAAAATTACTTATAGTTGAAATAGGATAGGAAGAAAGAAAAGAAATGTCAATGATTATTGTGTTCAGATTTCATACCAAGAAATCATCATTCTCAAGGTTCTATTTGGACCAATTGAGTTACTTACAACAGGATAACGAAATAGGATCCTCTGTCGCCAAAATACCTTATCTATATGTCCCTACCCAATAGAATTGTACCATTTAATATAAAATATTATATTTTTATTTTATATTTTTTTTTCTTTAATTAGATGGCAGATTATGATTTGTTTGGTACACCAATGGGGACAACAGATCTCCATCCCAGTATAACACTCATCACAATTTCATAAACTAAATAATTTAAACATGTTTTCTAAGTGTGAAGGTGAAAACGATGATGTGATAATGACAACATTAACATTAGACAATCATTGCAATTCAACTTTGACAGTTATTTTATTGTAATGAAACAAGTTTGAATACACCCTTCCTAGTTTATTATAGAGCTAGAGAAGCTACTATTTGTTTATGAATTTGTCCCAAATAAAAGTCTTGATTATTTCATATTTGATAGGTTTACTTCATTGGACTATAGTATAGCTCTCTATTAGTTTAACTCTAGTTCAAAACGGAGAGTAATTACAAGGGTATCGTGGCTCGATTTTCGGTTGGAAGACTGACCTTGCGACTTATGGAGAGGCGAACTCGATTTCAACCTCTTCCATGTTTATTGGAGTCGCCACTACGTTTTTTGCGGATAAAACGTAGAAAACTCTAAATTATGCCCGATTAGGACAATTTGGTCATTGATCACAGATTCTGAGTTCAGGAGTCGATTACGGATCGGGGAAGGTATTAGCACCCTGTCCGCCCGTATTAAAACGGTACCCTCGCTAATTACATGGACTTTCATACTCTTAAGTAAATTTGTTAAAAAATCAATTATAAAAGCAAAATGTTTTATTTTTTATTGTTGTGCATGACAAGAGCTCATCTTGCTCCTACGTATCCCTAGGTGCAATGGGGAAATCAAGGTTACGTAGTTCTGGTTCGAAAATTAATTAGTGTTGGTTTAGTTCGTTTGAAAAGTTGATGTAAATTGTATTCTCTTTAAGAAAAGATGAAGCAGCAGAAACTAATGTCCTCACTGTATCAAATCTTTAAGAGATTTTGAAAGTAATTAAAATACTTTGTTGAAATTTATTTATCCTTAAGATAATTGAAATTTATTTATTTTTAAGATAGATGAAGTAGCAAGACTAATGTCAGCGCCAGATCAAATCTCAAAGAATATTTTGAAATAATTTGTTTCAAATTTATTTATTTTTAAGATAGATGAAGTAGCAAGACTAATGTCCGCGCCGCATCAAATCTTAAAGAATAATTTTAGAAAATATATCGTTTGAAATTTATTTATTTTTAAGATAGATGAAGTAGCAAGACTAATGTCCGCGCCGCATCAAATCTTAAAGAATATTTTTAGAAAATATATCGTTTGAAATTTATTTATCTTTAAGATAAATGAAGTAGCAAGACTAATAATGCCCGCACCACATCATATCTTAAAGAGATTTTAGAAATAATTAAAATTTAATTGAACTTCAATAATATAAAGGCATTAACATACACCCATGGGTCCATGTGAATTAACTTATTTTGAAGATATTATAAAACAAAATTAGGATTAATAAAATAATATAGTAATAATAATAGTGAAACAAATAAAATAAATAAAAATAATAATAAAATGGGGGTGTAAAATTAATTTGGGGTAACTTACCCCCATTTTCACGTGGTTAAGGGGATGGAAATCCCTACCTTCGGCTCCCACTTCTTCTCCCCCAATTCAAGCGGCGGCAACTTCTTTTCCAGTGGCGGCTACGAAACGGTTCGAGGTGGAAACGGCTTCAACTCTTTATAGTTCCTCGATAGAACCACCCCCTTTTCACCCCGGCAGCAGGGAGGGAATCGGGTAAGGATCCAAATCCCTCTTTCATTCGGATTTAATTTATTCTTGGCAACACAAGTTAATTGAAAACATGAAAAGGACTGTGGATATTGATTTATTTAGGAACGAATCAAGCTTCTGGATTTATGATGATGCTTAACTTGTACCCTTTTTCTTTGCCAGGAGTATAACATCTTTCTGTTTACGGCCTTCCCTCTCTGACTTTGGTGTATTCCAAGTGCTCTTAAAATCCTTAACGCAATATGATTTCTTTTTGTTTTGCTTTTCCTGGTTTTCTCTTTAAAAATGGTCTCTTTTGACTTGTTTATGATCTTCCCTGATTTTGTGATGCCTTTAAATTCTTTTCTCATAAACAGAACAATAACCTCTTGCTTTTCTAATATGCCTTTCAATGATTTTCCCAGTACAATCTTCTCTCAAAAGTGTGTGTATGTGTTGTGCTGCTCTTTGCTATGATGTATGTAATGTGCGCCCCCTTTTCTGATTGCTATGTGATGGATGGTGTAGATTGTGTATATGGGTGGATGGATAATGCTTTCTGGTCTTTGTACTTGGATATGGTATGGCTTTTGGTTATTTTGTGGTTTTTTTTTTTGGGTTCGTGATATGTGAGTGATAGATAGATAGATAAGGAAGATATAAGAGATCTCCCGATGGAAGCTATGGTTATAGGCTTATGTATCTGTGTGATATTCGGTTATGTTGTGGTATGGGTATATGGACTGGGGTTATGTTACTGTGATGTGCGTTCTGTAGCAAAGATTGTGTATATGCGTATGATGTATTAGAGTCTATTTTGATATGTGGCATCCCCCCTCTCTTCTGCCTGACTGCTCTCTTTATAATGATTGGGGGGTTATTATTAAATTGGGGAACCTGTTGAGTTGCCAACTGAGTCAGAGTAACCTGTAAGACCTATGGTTTTTCTTCATTATTCCCTTTTAAGACTACCCATTATTGCTACTTAACTGTTACTGTGAAGATATGTAACTGTAGAATAATGTTTGGTTTGCCTTTCATGTGTGACTTTAAGTTGATTGCTATTCTTTTATAATATTTTACCAATGCCTCTGATTGTAACTGTTCATAAGGGAGAATAAACTTTCATTGATCCATACCATGTGCTGGTGTATTACCTACATTTATGGATTACGTTAATTCTGGACTGCTTGCAAAATTCTGGCTTATTTGACATCATCTATATGTAGTTTGTGTTTCTCACAATTGATTGGGTTCAAAGGTTGTATCTTTCTGAAATACTGCTTGTTGGCAACTCATGATTTGATTTCTATTCCTCTTAATGCTATTTCATTGAAATCTCACATTATGAATACTTGTAGGGAGAATAGGATGTGTGTCCTGTCTTGCATAGGTGATTGTATACCTTGCACAGGATACAGGGCATCAAGTTTATCCGTTTAGCATATTCATGTTCATACTCACATTAAGCTGCCACTGTTGGATCTGTTGTCCAGCGATGGTTATCTCTGCTGAGTTTGCTTGAATTGCCGCCTCTGCAGCATCTACTGTTCCTGCTGATATTTTAGTTGCTGGCGTTTGAAGCCTACTGGAGCCTGACCGAAGGGAATTTAGATTTGGGTTGGACTTTGTTGAATAAGTTCATATACCTTTTGTACAGTCAAGTCAAGTAGACATAATCAAATACATGATTGTATGTATCATTTGTTAAGACTTAATGTGTAGTGGGGTTTAATTTGACCTTAGTGCAAGTATAATGCAGTTAATGCCATAGGGCTAAGAGGAGAGACAGTGCCAAAAGCTAGCCCTTAATAATCGAATATGTTATCAACACTAGTTTAGAACAGAATAATTATGAGATAAAAATGTCCTCCAAGACACATAAAAAAAGTTCTTTACAAACAAACTTTCAATTTTTAGTATTCTCAAAAATTGTATTTTTAGTTTATTGTCGGTAAATTGGCCGGACAAAATCGAGTGTTCGCAAAGGGGTTTCAAAACTCTAACATTTGGATGAATATATGTAGATCAAATAAGGAAAGAAGAATTGGATTGGGTAAGGCGCTACAAAATCATCGGTGGTATTGCCTGAGGCCTTCTTTATCTTCATGAGGATTTTCGATTGCATATCATATGATATCGTGATCTCAAAGAAAGTAACATACTCTTAGATGAAGAGATGAATCCCAAGATATCAGATTTGGAATGGCAAGACTCTTTGTTGTGGATCAAACGCAAGGAACTATAAGTACAATTGTTGGAAAATAGTGAGTACTAGAAGATGTTAGAGCATATTAATTGTTATTATTAATATCATGCCCCCTATTATCAATTAAAATATAGTAAAAATTCTTGTATATACTATGAAAAGACTCGGTAGCATTTATGTGTAACGAAGCTTGTGCATATTAATATGTAGTATATATTGCATGAAAAGTTTTCACCGTGGTCAGATGTTTTTAGTTTGTTGTTATCGTAGCTTGCAACAATTTTAAATGGTACAAAATAATTGATAGCAAACTCCTTGTGGGGGTTGGTATTTATGCTTGATCGTTTTGTTTGGAGTCTCGGTTTTGGAACACTTTAGGAGATTTTTTTGTTGGGATTTTTGGTTGTTTTTATGGTGTCACGGTTGGCTTTTGGTTATTAGTAGGTTGGGGTTGTGTTTAGCTGGGTTTCTGGCCGGGATTAGGTGTTTGGGTTAGGGATGTGATAAGTTGGGAATGCTGGCCAAGAATAAGTGTTTGGCTATGGATGGTTATGTGTTTAGACCAGGCTGTCTCGATTTGGCCTAGGATTTGTTGTAGGCTGAGGCTGTGTGTATTGGTTTGGGATGGTATGTGTTTCGGTTGTGTTGGATAAAAGAATTTAGGTGAAGAAGAATTGAGAAGGTAGAGGCGCCATAAACAAGGTTGTTTGATAAGCCAAGGGAAGTTCGCCACAAAGAAGGATATTTGATAAGAACAAGGGACTTGGTTCAACCAAGAAGCTTAGGAGAGAAAAACTCACTAAGTGTTTTTGCATAAAATTCAACTTGTCTTATTTCAAATGAGGCACTTTACACTTATAGGTGGGCTGGCCACAACAAGGATCCCAATTACACTCTTGAATTTCGAAAATAAATTAGCCTAGAAGTTGTTATGACCGTGCTCCCAACATGGGGCTAAAGATAAGGCATTTAGTTTAATAATTCAAATTGTAAAAACACATGTGCATTTGTTTGAATTCTAAATCAGCTTTGCAATATGTGTATTGAAGGTCTTGGCTGAAAACGTGGGCTTGCCTTTCATGCGTGTCTCCTCTTGAAAGCTTGAGCAAAAAATATGGGAGTCGTGTCTTAGCTAGCCTTGTCAGCATTATCCCATTTGAATGTGTATCCAGCCTTGTGAATGTTTATTAAGTTGTTGGCTGAACATAGGGATGTGCCAATAATTCAAATTAAAATTTGAATAGACTTTTAAAGGCTTAGTGACAACAACCTCCTTGTGGGGTTGGTGCATCTTTATGATCGTTTTGCTTGAAACTAGCCTTTTAGAGTGAGTTTGTAACTTTCAGATATTTTTGGATAATTTTTGGGTTGTTTATGGGTGTTTTCGGTTGGCTTAGGGTTTTAGGGGCTGGACAATGTCTTTGGCCTGGTTTATGGCCGAAAGTAGTGAGGGTTATGTGTTTCGGCTGTTTTGGTCGAGAGTGGCTTTAGGGGAGTTTTGGTGCGGCTGGACTTGGCTTAGGGTGCTTGGCTGTTTGGCTTTGTATTTGGTCGTGTATGGTTTGTCAAGGGGATTTAAATTAAGGTAGGATAAAAGAAGATGGAAATAAACTTGAGAGGGAAAACGCCACAAGCCTAAGCTTGATAAGTTGAGTGATATCCACCACAACAAGGATGTTGATAAGGATTGTTTGGAGGCGCCACATCACAGGGATGATAAGCCAAAAACGCCACAAGCAAATGCTTGATAAGTTTAAAGTGGTAGGAGCAAAGCTCAACTCAACACAATGTGTTTTTCTTAACCAAATTCAACTTAAAGTTACAATTGGAGTTTGACTTACATATATAGAGCTAAGCCACGGTTTTGGCTCCTAAACTAATGCTAACACTAATTTGAAATTCAAATTTAAAAGAATTACATAAGTAAAACCAAATGAATGTGGACGTTGGGTGAGGAAAGGTGCATGGCTTGAGTGTTGGCGGCAAAGAGATGGCCATGCTTTAAATGTGGGCACCAAAATTGACATGAATTCATTCACATGCATGCTTGGCCGAAATTCTTGTGTTTCCATGCATGATAACACGCCTCCTTGTCTTAGCCTTGGCTTGGCCGAGTTTTGGCAAGCTTTAGTAAGCCCATCACGATTTATAATGTTCAAAAACCTAAATTACTTTGTAAAATACAAAAATATGACTTAAAAATAAAAGGTGGGACATAAGACCCTCACTTATTTAATGCAACAAAATAAAGAAAAGACCATTTATGCCCTTAAGTAAATATGGCTTTGGCATGTTGCTATCACTTAGGCTAAAAATATGGAAGCTTGTCCAACATTAAAATATCCGTGTAATTGAGACTTAATAGCTGGGCTGGATATGTGGGATGTGCCCACTATTCAAAAATGCATTAATCCTTGGCCATTAAGTGTTGGCTGAATTCGTGGATTGCTTGTTTGTTCTTGTTGTGGCCTTCAAAGCTGGGCGGAGAAATAGGGATGTGCCAATTTTACCCTTCAATGCTGGGCGGAAAACTAGGACCGTGTCAAGTTTGGCCTGGGCCGAGTCAGCTATATGTGTGGCCTAGCTTGCATTTCTTAACCTACAAATAAACATATTTATTAGCATGATAATTGAAATAAAAGTAAGGTAGTTAAATAATATAAACGTGGTTTGACACCACTTATTAATAAACAAACTTAATCCTCTATGGTGAGGCACATTATGGGCCTCTTGTGGTCACTCGGCCCAATTGAAGCTATGATGCTTAGTATGAGTTGGCCAAGTGTGCCTTGGGCTTTCTTGGCCCTAGCCCGAGTTATGGGCCATCCTAGGCCCATTAGATAATCCAAGTTGATGGCCCTTGGTTGGTCGCAGTCATCCCGTCCTTCTTGGAATAAATTCGACCTCGAGTCAAGGTCTTCATTACCTGTTTCAAAAAGAGAGAGATCAACAACATTAAAAGTAGCACTAACATGGCCATAATCACTTCGAATATCAATCTTATAAGCATTATTGTTTATTCTCTCAAGGACCTTGAAAGGTCCGTCCCCTATAGGTTGAAGTTCAGACTTCCTTTGGGAGGGGAATCTTTCTTTCCGCATATGAACCCATACTAGATCTCCAGGCTCAAAGATAACCTCCTTTCTACCCTTGTTGGCTTGCCTAGCATAACCCTCATTCCGTTTCTCAATTTTGGCCTTGACTTCTTCATGAAGCAGTTTTACATATTCGGCTTTGGCCTTACTATCTTTGTGTTTTAGGGTATGAGAGTCAGCAAGAGGTAGTAAGTCAAGTGGGGGTCAAAGGATTGAACCTATAAACTACCTCAAAAGGTGAGCATCCTGTGGTGCTATGTATTGTTTGGTTGTAAGCAAATTCCACATGGGGTAGGCTTTCTTTCCAAGCCTTGAGGTTTTTCTTTAGGACTTCCCTTAAAAGTGTGGACAGTTCTCGGTTCACTACCTCAATTTGGCCATTTGTTTGTGGATGGCACGTTGTGGCGAAAAGGAGTTTAGTCCCTATTTTACCCCATAGGGTTCTCCAGAAATGACTAAGGAGCTTAGTGTCCCTATCACTCACAATGCTCATGGGTAGACCGTGGAGCCTCACAATCTCTTTGAAAAAAGATCAGCCACATGACAAGCGTCTTCAACCTTTTTACAAGGTATGAAGTGGGCCACTTTGGAAAAACGGTCCACTACGACAAAGATGGAATCTGATAGCAACCCATTATTAGCCATCAACTTGGATGATCTAATGGGTCTAAGAGGGCCCATAACTCGGGCCAGGGCCAAGAAAGCTCAAAGCACTCTTGGCCAACTTATTCTAAACACTCTAGCATCAATTGGGCCAAGCAAGGATGTGAGGCCCACTCATTGTCTCCTTATAAAGGATGAGCCTTTTGAAGGCCACGGCCAAGAATGAGGCCTTACTTTATTTTCTTTCTTTAAGCTTTTAATAAGTGGACGACCCACGTTTATTATGCCTATTATTTTAATCATGTTTTATTTTAATTTAATTCACTAATAAATATGTTGAATTGTTTTCAGCCAAGCCCATGAAAGTTGCTGACTAGGCCAAGAAAACCAAATCTGACCGAGCCAGCTGACTTGGACCAGGCGCCGATTTTTCCGCCATCTGACCTGGCCAAGACGCATCACTTGCAGCGTCACTCTGAAGGCCAGCCAACCTGCTGACTCAGCCGAGGCGCCTATGTTTCCGCCAAGTTTTCAAGGCCAAGCAAGATCCCATGATTTTCGCCACACTTCAAAGAATGGCCTGCCACAAAGGCAACACTTATGGAGCCTACCTTATTCTTTGCCTAATTTGTCAATGCTATTTTAATTGAGTAATTACAATGATTAATTCAGCCTAGCCTTAATTAAATCACACAAGGCTGAGTTCAAATTCAAATGAGGCTTGAAGACACATCCCACTCTTTCCACCTCAGCTTAAAGAAGCATGCAAAGGGGACGAACATCCCATATTTCCAGCACGACATTATTCAAGAAAGTTTGGGGACATCAATCCTTTTCTTCAGCCTCGGCTTAAAGGGATTTTGGAATGGGACAAGCATCCCACGAGTTTTGCTTGGTTTTATTGCAATTTCTTCATGGCTGAATCAAATTTCAAGTTAAGGCACTTAATGCCATTTGCACGTGTAGCTTAAGTTTGAATTAGGCACTTTAATAACATTAAACTTTGTAATTTGAATTACTTATTTCGAATTAGAAGGGAAACCTCACGGCTAGCCCATGCTATATATGTAAAGCTTCATCATATGAAATGGATAAGTTGAATTTTATTCAAAACTTCTTAGCTGAGTTCTCTCCTAAGTTTCTTGGCTGAACCAAATTATTGTTCTTATCAGAAATCATTCTTTGTGGTGAACTTCATTTGGCTTATTAAACATCTATGTTTTTGGCGCCATTACCATTTCAATCTTTTTCATCCATATTCTTTTATCATCAACCGAAATCCTAAACAATCTTCACCCAAACACAAGCCTCAACCAAACACACACCCAAAGACAAACCAAAACAGCCTCGGCCAAACACAATCCCAAAGACACACCAAAACAACCTCGGCCCAAACACAATCCCAAAGCC